TCACAGGAAAAACTGAGTCTGAATCGAAGGCACAAGATTATGAAACAGTCATCAATCTTAGACACAAAATAATGGTAGCATACGAAGAAGCAAAAAAGGCATGTGTCCACGCAACACATAAACAGCGAATGTATGCAAACAGAAATACTAAACTGATGACCTTCGAACCCGGTCAAGAAGTGCTTATATTGCTACCAAAAGATTCAGACAAACTGTGCATCGAATGGCGTGGCCCTTACACGGTAGTAAGAAAAGTGTCAAATGTTGATTATGAAATTGATTATAAAGGAAAATTGAAAATTTTTCATGTTAACATGATGAAAAGGTATTTTACAAGAAAGGTTAGTGATGATATTGTAGAAAATGTCAATGCTTGTAACATGATCAATGAACAAATAACTGACGCTATTAATGACGAATTACCAACACCGTCAGTGAAGGATGAGATCAACTGGAGGTCTGTAAAGATAAACCCCAAGTTGCCAACGGGAGATAAAGAAAAAATCGAGGGGGTAATCGAAAAATATAAAAATATTTTTACCAACAAACCTGGGAAAACCGATATAATTCATTTCGACATCCAGTTGAACTCAACCATTCCGGTGAAAGCTAGAAACTATGCTATTCCCATTCATTATACTGAAAAAGTCGTAGAGGAACTGAAACAATTACAAGCAGACGGCATAATCGAAGACTCAACGTCAGAATACAGCTCACCAATGGTAATTGTAAAAAAGAAAGATGGCAGTTTGAGATTATGTGTAGATTACAGAAAACTAAATGCTATCACTCATTTGGAATCAGAACCCATTCCTTCAACAGAGGACATAATCCAGAATTTGTACAATTCAAAATTCTTTACGAAATTAGATCTTTGTAAAGGGTACTGGCAAATTCCATTGACACAGAAAGCCAGCAGGTATACTAGCTTCCAAACCCCACTCGGTTTAAAACAGTGGTTACGTTTACCATTTGGGTTGATAAACGCAGCAAAAATATTCACAAAACTCATAAGAAAGGTATTAACAGGTATTAATAATGTAACAGCATACATGGATGATATTTGCATACACACAAAAACTTTGCCGGAACACATAGACACCTTGAAAGAAGTGTTCAGCAACATTCAAAAGGCAAATCTGACTGTTAATCCAGCGAAATCAGAGTTTTGTTTCACACAAATCCAGTTTTTAGGACATACAGTGTTCCAGGGTAGTATTCAGACTGACGAGACAATTGTTTCTAAAATTTTAAAAATTGAAAGACCAAAGACCAAGAAACAACTACAGGCACTATTAGGACTTGTAAATTATTACGGCAAATTCATCCCTAAGTTAGCAGAACTAACAGCCCCTCTATCGGAACTTTTGAAAAAAGACCAGTTTAGAAAAAAGGATTGGACAGAAACTCATGACAAAATCATACAAAAAATCAAGTCTTCATTTGCTACTCCACCAATACTAAGACAACCGGACCCATCTAAAACTTTCTACCTACAAACTGACGCTAGTGGTCATACCATAGCCGCGATGTTGGCTCAAAGGCATTCCGGTACTCTTCTTCCGGTTCTATATCTTTCACAGAAACTTAATTCCACCCAACAGAAATACAGTACTTTTGAAAAGGAGGCTCTCGCTCTTGTTATCAGCCTTAAAAAATTCCAAAAATTCTTGATAGGAAAGGAATTCATTATTCTGACTGATAACTTAGGCCTGACAAAATTAACAATGGATGCAACAAATAACGCAAGAGTATACAGATGGGCGTTATTATTATCCCAATTTCAGTTCAAGATAGAACACATTAAGGGCATTGAAAACCATCTACCCGACGTGATGTCCAGATTATAAACATAGATTCAATTTTGTATTGTATGTATTACCTGGGGAAATCCTGAATTACAGGAAAGAGTATGGGTGAATGAATGAAATATGTAAACATAGCTTAACTGATGATTTTTATGTATGTTACATTGGTAAGTAAGTAACAATATACGTGTGACAATGGCGACTATGATGAGATGAATATGATGACAATAATGCTGATAACGACAACAACAATGATGATGATAATGATGATGATGATGATGATGATAATGATGATGATGATGACAATAATGATGATGATTATGACAATGAAGATGTTACAGCATGTGGAAATAAGGTTTAATAATGATTGCATATGTTGTTCAGATAAATTTATTGGTGAAAATATAGGTTGTAAAACATGTAATAGGGTAATTACTAGGATATAGAAAGGGAATAATAATACTTTTTCGGAAAAGTAATGGGTAATTTACACCACATAATCCAAGGGATTGAGTTCGAAATCCTAAATAGGGAAACATATGTTTCTAATTGAAACGTAAACCAGTGACAGTAGCATGAGTCCAACGGTGAGGGTGGGACTTTGCGGGTTTTCTACATTTCTGTTCCATAGCCGATATGGACTTCAGTACTTGAAAGAGAGTACCAGAATTGTTGTTCTGTTTTATACAGACTGTGGGATGGGATGGGGTTAATACGCAGAGCCTATATGGACTACCGCACTTGGAAGAGAGTGCCTGAATGGTTGTTTCCCATTAAGCCACTTGGTACTTATTGGTACTTATAACTGGTAATGTGACAAAGGGAAATAATGTAAAACCTATCAAAAGGGAAGTAACCATTAAAACCCAAAATGATTATTAGGTAATCCACATCATTACATTAAAGTATTCCCAAACCTTTAAAATTATAACCTAAAGATAAAGTAATAGAAAAAAAAAAATTTTAAGGTTAAATTTTTTTTACTAGAAGGGAGGGGGAGATTGTAATGTTGTGAATTCCCGGGGAAACCCCAGAGAGTTCCCGATGGGGAGAAAAAGGTCGGAGGACCCGTGAGAGAAGAGAAAAACGGGAGAAGTGAGTCTCGTGTGTCTCATGGTAAACGAAGTGAGAGACACAAGAAAAGCATGAGACGTGAACGGAAGACGTGAACCGAGAGACTGAAGTAAGACAGTTGAAGTTCGGCCCTGACTGAGAGAGGACGCGTGAATGTACGCCTGAGAAGAATAAATGATTTGTGAAGCGAACGTTATATTTCAATAGGAGGACTGAATGTTTTTCCATACGTCGTAATGTCAGATATCAGAGTCCATGAAGTATAGATGGATGGTTCGAGAGACGCTGATGAATTCCTGTAGTGTGTGGGAAGTCCGACCCGGTCGCTAGATTCAGCCAAGCAAGTCGAGCACGAGGAAGCATGAATGTATGTTTGCGATAACTGGCGATTCAACGAATAAAAGCAAAGAACTCAATATTCGTTCATGCTGTGTCGTTTCAACTCACTGTTCGTCTGAAAGCAATATAAACAACACATGCCCCTAGATGAGCACATTACACCTAAGACTGCTGTTCATCCATCTCTCTATGTTATCCTCCCATTTGTATCACTGTCTGCATCTTGCCTGCTGAAAGTCCAGGTTTCTGCACTTTTCAACAGGGCTGACTTTACATAACATCTTAATGTGTATTTTATTATGAGTGTAGAAGAAGTTAATCTGATGAGTTATGACTTAGGAACCACCATCACAGTACTCAGAACATTCCCAAAACTGCTCCATCCCCATCTTCAGCAGCAAGTGCAGAGTTCCAATTCCGATGGTACCAGTAACCATCTGTGTGGTGCAGAACCAGCCAATCTATCTGAGAGTTTACTACCAAGTGGTGCAGAACCAGCCGATATATCTGAGAGTTTACTACCAAGTGGTGCAGAACCAGCCAATCTATCTGAGAGTTTACTACCAAGTGGTGCAGAACCAGCCAATCTATCTGAGAGTTTACTACCAAGAGGTGCAGAACCAGCTAATCTATCTGAGAGTTTACTACCAAGTGGTGCAGAACCAGCTAATCTATCTGAGAGTTTACTACCAAGTGGTGCAGAACCAGCCGATCTATCTGAGAGTTTACTACCAAGTGGCGCAGAACCAGCCAATCTATCTGAGAGTTTACTACCAAGTGGTGCAGAACCAGCTAATCTATCTGAAAGTTTACTACCAAGTGGTGCAGAACCAGCTGATCTATCGGAGAGTTTACTACCAAGTGGTGCAGAACCAGCCAATCTATCTGAGAGTTTACTACCAAGTGGTGCAGAACCAGCCAATCTATCTGAGAGTTTACTACCAAGTGGTGCAGAACCAGCTAATCTATCTGAGAGTTTACTACCAAGTGGTGCAGAACCAGCCAATCTATTTGAGAGTTTACTACCAAGTGGTGCAGAACCAGCTAATCTATCTGAAAGTTTACTACCAAGTGGTGCAGAACCAGCTAATCTATCTGAAAGTTTACTACCAAGTGGTGCAGAACCAGCTAATCTATCTGAAAGTTTACTACCAAGTGGTGCAGAACCAGCTAATCTATCTGAGAGTTTACTACCAAGTGGTGCAGAACCAGCTAATCTATCTGAGAGTTTACTACCAAGTGGTGCAGAACCAGCTAATCTATCTGAGAGTTTACTACCAAGTGGTGCAGAACCAGCTGATCTATCTGAGAGTTTACTACCAAGTGGTGCAGAACCAGCTGATCTATCTGAGAGTTTACTACCAAGTGGTGCAGAACCAGCTAATCTATCTGAGAGTTTACTACCAAGAGGTGCAGAACTAGCCAATCTATCTGAGAGTTGTACACCTGACGACAATGCCTACTGGCATTAAGTATATTAACCACCGAGAAAGAAAGATGTATAACTAAGTGTGGTAGCTCAGCGGTGAGTCACTTGCATGTCATCCCAAAGGTCTTTGGTTCAGATCTGTATCAAGGTGGCATTTTTACAACTGACATTCAGTTTGACCAGCAAAATAGTACCAGGAAATGTCTCGGGAAATAAAGGTGTCTGCCATTATGTTGATATCAGCCTCACAGTGCTAACTGGACTATATAAACATGCTAATATCTAGGTGTTAAGCACTTTCTTCAAAAGATGAACAAAGAAATATAAAAATTGCAAGAAGACACACATACCAATAAGCCTGACTAGAGCATTAAGAAATGCCATGGATATTGCATCTCCTGTCTTCATAACTGAATTCTTGATAACATCTGTCTTCAGGTTTCTCTTCAAGTAGCTCGACTGAAAGATATGAAAGGTACATGTAAACCCAAGGACAAGAAAGATACACCCTCATCATCATCTTGTTGTGCCATTATATATCACAGAGATCTCACAGTCTCTCCATTCCATTCTATCCTATGTAATCTACTAATGTCAGCAATGGAATATACTCAAGTAATCACGGTTCCACCTTTACAGCAAACGGGTCACCCTACAGCTGCTCTATTCCGAGGCCAACAAAAACCACACAGAATGTCCATCACTGTCCCTTGTGGGAACAAAAAAAGGAAACAGACTGCACTCTTAGCAAATCCAACAGCATATACCAGTTGTCAATGTATAAAGCAGCAGTCGCAAGGGCCACTACAAACAGTCTGACACTAGAAATGCAGTTGTTTGTCGATAGAAGCAGTAGTTACAACAGACCAGTCATTGCACAGGAAATTAATCGCATAAAGCATCACAAGTTCCCACGCAACAGACCAATCACCTGAATCTGCAGTTAACAACATAAATCATGCTGGGCACAGTTAAAAGGCATTCCAAACAAATTTTGCAGCTCACAGTGTCTCACCATGCACTCAGCTCAGTAGCTGAGTGACAGAATGGTTATATAGTCCAGCAGCTTTGGTCTCTCTCACGAATGATGGCTTCTCGGTTTTTCTGAATGACATTTCCTTAATCCACTTGTTTCCCATTTCAGAACCTCTTGTGATTCTTTGTTCACTTCTCCACAGGGTGTGCTTAACATTGCAGCATCTTCTTTGACAGCAGTGGTTGCCCAGTTATATATTTCATTTCTTAATCTTTTATGAATTCATCCCATTTAATAATGTTCATCAATTTTCTCAAGCATTTGTTTTCTAATGCAGTTAACTTTCCTTTCATGTCCTTAGTGGTTCTCCAACTTTCCCTAGGGAAAGAAAAAGTGAAAGAAAATCAGAATTGAACCAGCATAACTTTAAAACTACAAAATCTGGATTCTTGAGCTGACACAGAGTTTTATAATCACAAGCCTTCATATATGTAATGTTAGATTATCACAATCATTCATGCTCAGTCCTCTGAGACAGCAGCCACTTTAAGGTACCTCTAGTGACTGTTCCCATGAGGAGTTGGTTATAATGTCTCCTATCTTGGTCTCCAATGCAGCATAGACGTGCTTCACCATGCTTCACTCTCAGATCACACAGCTGTGTTAGCATCAAAGATATTTCGTACCCTATAGCCCAGTCAGTACAGCGTTGATGATACCTGCTCTGTCCCCGCTCCTTATCACGTGTGATTATTATGAGATGAGGTGATCAGTCCCCTAATCTGTGACTTTTCCTCCTCAAAGATTTCAGGGACAGGGTAAGATTAACATATAATCAAGGTGCAACTGATAACACTAGTAGTGGAACTCTGAGTTCACTGCTGAAGACAGGGAGATAGCACATTTATGGGAATGACCCAAACACTGCTATAATGAATCTTAACTCAACTCCACTTATTCTTTCCAATAGCTTTCTTTGAAAAAAACACACACACAAAAATAATCAATAACACAAAAATAAAGACACAACAGAATGATAATAATAAGATCATATCATCATCATCAAGTGCCTTGCTGACTGACCTGGGTTATCCTGCTTCTCCACAATCTACGATTTCCGGCAGTATGAATCTGTTCATGTGCTGACACCTTCATGCCATTACAAAAGGCTGTCAAGAATTGTCTGGCATTTTCCTCTTTTTCTATTTCCACGAATATTTCTATGTACAGCTCAAATGGAGAAAGTTGGGCGTGCTACAGTGTGAGTTTAGAATGGGTGGATGTTTCGTGAAGGTATTGTTGACATTAGTTTGCTCCAACCTCAGTTATCAATTCCTAGACCTGTCCTATTTCATGTACCGCATGAAGAAACAGCGAGTGGAAGAATAAAGTGTGAAACTGCATTGTGATGTTCGCTGTCATCCATTTCTACTCGTCGTGTTGATGTCGGTGTGTGAAAAGAAGAGTCTGCAATTGACTAGAGCCAAACTAAGAAAGAACAGAGTCATTGCAGAAAGGTAGAGCATTTGTTTAAAGTCTTTCCTGGAGATGTACGGCCAAATGGCAAGGATGACGACTTGTTCATTATTTTAGGAGTTGAATTAATTTTCCATAAGTGTAGTTATTTGTTCTCAATATAATAAGGATTGGAAACTCAAGACATTTGGAATGGCAGGCAAGCTTCTAGCCACTGCGCTACTGCAGCTCCCACCATAACGAGTGTCTACTCTATATTTTTTCCCTCAACTCCATAAACTTTCAAACTTCTGTCACAATATATATAAAACTAGCCAGAGTTCATAGTTTATCTGTTACCACATCTTCAGGCAAGTCTCCGAGGTCATCGTAGTCTGTGGTCACAGTGTTAGCATCCAAGTCAACGACCACGGCATCCCCGACATCCACTCGGTTCTGTTTCAATCTCTGGATGGGAGGATCAGATAGGAATGTTGTCAAACTTAACCAGATATGATCTCAATGCTGTAACCAGAGCTCTTTTGGTTGTACACAATAGTATTCAGTACTGACATAATTGTTTTCGTTGATGTATTTTTTATCAGTGCTACTGTAACAGACACTTTCTGGTGAGTATCGGCATCTTTGTGTAAACACTTTATAGTGAGTACTGGCACCTTTGTTTTAACACTTTATGGTGAGTACTGGCACTTTTGTTTTAACACTTTGTGGTGAGTACTGGCACCTTTGTTTTAACACTTTGTGGTGAGTACTGGCATCTTTGTTTTAACCCTTTCGCTGCTACGTTCCTGGAAATAGTTGTCCTCCCCGTGCTAAGCAATGTGAAAAAAAAAGTCTCTGCTGTGCGCAATACTTTTCTATCCTCCAAACGCAAGAGATGCGTCGGCGGTGAGGGCTATATTTTGTACACCCAAAAAAATTTACCCTGGGGAGTTGTGTGGTTGGTCCGACAAGTCAGAGGCACGATGGTGGCCCACAAACTTGACTAACAGAGAGAACTGTTCCCAGTCCGTATCCCAAAATTTGATTGACGAACCTACCACGGCTGCCACTTTAATCATAGTTATTTGTAGTCACCATGTTATTATATACCAAAATAATAAAAAAAATTTAATAATAATACTTGAGTCTTCCGTTGATAAAAAGTAGCAGGAACTGAAAGGAAAATTTACAATAATTTAAAAAAAAATAAATAAAAACACAACTTCGGGAGTTGAACACACGACCCTCTAATTCTAAGGCGAACGTGATACCAACTACACTATACAACCGCTTGACGTATTTTTCTGTGTGAATGATAATAATGACTGATGTACGCAGACTATCAATAACGTGCCTAAGCTTGTAGTCTATCGCCGCCTGCATGAGCACTGTTGTCTGAGAAATGTTTGAGATTCTCAACAATAGTAAAAATATGTCCGTCGACATTATTTCACGGGAGTTTTTAGCAAACAGTCTCTGCTCATGTACTCTATTTTGAGTTTCTTTGTTCTAAGCATTAGCAGACAGACAGCAAAAAAAAAAAAAAAAGTTCATCCGAATCTGTGTCTGTCCATCACGAAAGACGAGAATTTTTAGTGACTGAAGTGTTTGAATTTTCAGTAGCAGAAATACAGTTAGAGCTTGAGTCATCAAAATTATGCACTACTGGTTTCAAATCAACGGTTCATAAAGACAACTGATCAATTTATTGCCATTTTGATGGTGCTTCATTGTCGCTGCTCTCTGATTCCGACAATGAGGACGTCGGACAGGCAAACAGCTTTTTTTGGACACGACGGTTTCAGCAGTCGATATTGATGGCCTAGTCAAATCTTTTTGTTCACTGTCAGAAGTAAACATTTCAAAGTCATCTTCGCTATCACTTCTTCACAGAAACTCCATCAATTCTTCATCAACTTTAACAAGTTTTCTTGCCATTTTGTACTAAGTGTAGAATAATACAAAAGCACAAATATATATCAGGGCACAAAATACACAGATCACCGACCACGCTGTCACGGTAAACAAAGCAACGGGATAACGCAGAATGCAGTAAACACACCTTAAACACACCTAAAAGTACGTGCCAGTGCTTTTAATCATATGTAAATGGGTCAGTTTAATCTAAATATAGCTAATGTATATTGCCCTCCAGCCAATAAAATACGAGGTAACAGAAATCTGTAGGAAAAGTCCAAAAACGGCTTAGGACGTCCATAGCACTGGGGGTCAAGAAAAAAAATAACGTCCAAAGACGGGCGTAGCAGCGTACGGGAAATCGGGAATAGACGTCCATAGCAGCGAAAGGGTTAACACTTTATGGTGAGTACTGGCACCTTTGTTTTAACACTTTATGGGGAGTACTGACACCTTTGTTTTAACACTTTGGTGAGTACTGGCACCTTTGTTTAAACACTTTATGGTGAGTACTGGCATCTTTGATTTAACACTTTATGGTGAGTACTGGCATCTTTGTTTTAACACTTTATGGTGAGTACTGGCACCTTTGTTTTAACACTTTATGGTGAGTACTGGCACCTTTGTTTTAACACTTTATGGTGAATACTGGCATCTTTGTTTTAACACTTTATGGTGAGTACTGGCACCTGTGTTTTAACACTTTATGGTGAGTACTGACAGCTTTATTTCTAGATAAAAAGCTTTGGCTGTGAAACCTCACAAGGCAAATTAAATATTGTGACAAATCAGGGATTAGTAAATGTTGTTACTCTATGCCGGACATGATCTATACTGTGTAATACTACACTGGACAAGAATAAATAACTCTACAACTCTAATTACTGTAACACTAGACTAGACAAGAGTGAATAATGTACAATGTAACATCACTGGCTAATATCTGTATCCAGTAACAGTAGATCAGATAGAAGATAGATCTGTAACACACAACTAGCTAATATCTGTATCCAGTAACAGTACATCAGATAGATCTGTAACACACAACTAGCTAATATCAGTATTCAGTAACAGTACACCATATAGATTTGTAACACACAACTAGCTAATCTCTGTATCCAGTAACAGTAGATCAGATAGAAGATAGATTTGTAACACACAACTAGCCTCCAACTACTGAAACTCAGACATAATCTAAATATTGCAATACTTTATTGGACAAGGGTAAACCAGGTAATATATCACTAGAACATTCTGACACTTCCTGTACTAGCTGTTACTGTTTCTGTACTAATGATAACACTTCCTGTACTAGCTGTTACTGTACTAATGATAACACTTCCTGTACTAACTGTTACTGTTTCTGTACTAATTATAACACTTCCTGTACTAGCTGTTACTGTTTCTGTACTAATTATAACACTTCCTGTACTAGCTGTTACTGTACTAATTATAACACTTCTTGTACTAACTGTTACTGTTTCTGTACTAATTATAACATTTCCTGTACTAGCTGTTACTGTTTCTGTACTAATGATAACACTTCCTGTACTAGCTGTTACTGTACTAATTATAACACTTCCTGTACTAGCTGTTACTGTTTCTGTACTAATTATAACACTTCCTGTACTAGCTGTTACTGTACTAATTATAACACTTCCTGTACTAACTGTTACTGTTTCTGTACTAATTATAACATTTCCTGTACTAGCTGTTACTGTTTCTGTACTAATGATAACACTTCCTGTACTAGCTGTAACTGTTCCTGTCTTATTTATAACCCTTTCTGTACTAGCTGTTGCTGTTACTGTTACTGTTTCTGTCCTATTTATAACTGTTTTTGCTCTATTTATAACCCTTTCTATACTAGCTGTTACTGTTTCTGTAGTATTTATAACCCTTTCTGTACTAGCTGTTACAGTTTCTGTCCTATTTATAACACTTCCAGTACTAGCTGTTGCTGTCCTATTTATAACATTTCAAGTACTAGCTGTTAATGTTTCTGTCCTATTTATGGCACTTCGTGTTCAAGTTCTTACAGTGTTCATGCTAATTATGGCACTTCATGTACAAGTTTTACAGTTTCTGTGCTGATTATAATATTTCATGAAAAAGTTGTTACAGTTTCTGTGCTAATTAAAATGCTTTATTTACTAATTATAACACTTCAAGTACAAGTTTTTAGTTTCTATGCTTACTATAACATATAATGTACTAGCTGTTACTGTCTCCATGCTAACTGTAACACTTCATGTACAAGTTGTTACAGTTTCTGTATTAATTACATAATTACATGTTCAATTTGTGACATTTCATGTTCTGGTTTCTGTATAATTTTGACACTTTCCTTCAGTTTTTTTCATAATCTGACACTTTTTTTCTGGTTATGTTTAAATTTCGACACTTTATGTTTTGTGCCTGTCTTAATTATGACATACTATGTACAAATTACTATTATGACCAAATTTGACACTTCCTGTTCTGTCCTAATTTTAACACTTCATGTTCTATTACTTTATTAATTTTGATATTTCATGTACAAATTACTATTTCTGACCTAATTTGACACTTCTTGTCCCGGCTGTTAATACTTGTGTCTTAATTTTGACAATTCCTATACTTGTTACAGTTTTTGCGCCAAATGTAACTTTTCCCCATTCAGTCATATAAACACACTGCATTCATCTATTCAACAAATTTACTATACTATTCGTCTCTTCTTCTGTCACTAAGGTATTGGGGTGAGGGGGCTGTAAGGATCTTCTCTTTGTTCTTTCTAACATGCTGCATAAATCTGATCTTCATTTCTTTAGGGCTGTTCTTTATGCCATCGTTCCATTTCTGCATGGTCTTCCACTTGCTCTGTGTTTTTTATGTTTCTTCAGCGTGGCTCTCTGTAGAAGCTCGTACATGATCATTCTCATCAGGTGGCCAAACCACCTCACCTGTTGCTCTTAAAGCTCTACATTTTTAACATTAAAACAAGAAGGAAAACCAACTCACCTCCACCAGTGTGCTGTGGATGCCAATCAAATAGGGCATTGGGGCACTGTAATGCACACAAGAAATGAGTTACTTACATCAGTTTCAGAAAGAGATCAAACATAAAGTCACAGTGGCTTGTATCTTTTTTCTTCTCAAATAATTTTCTGCCTTCTAGCATCAGGTTTTGAAGAGGTGCAAGGCTTGGTATGTGCTACATAGATTCTGGTTTTTACAGCCTCAAATATTCCAGCTGTCCATTACTTGTATGGCCAGCCTGTAGCTCTGCTTCCATTGACTGCAGTCACCCCCATATTTGTCCATTATGTGTAAGTGACAGGGTTCACTGTGCTGCTGCTGCAATATGTGTAAGTGACAGGGTTCACTGTGCTGCTGCACTTTGTGTAAGTGACAGGGTTCACTGTGCTGCTGCACTTTGTGTAAGTGACAGGGTTCACTGTGCTGCTGCAATATGTGTAAGTGACAGGGTTCACTGTGCTGCTGCACTATGTGTAAGTGACAGGGTTCACTGTGCTGCTGCTGCACTATGTGTAAGTGACAGGGTTCACTGTGCTGATGCACTATGTGTAAGTGACAGGGTTCACTGTGCTGCTGCACTTTGTGTAAGTGACAGGGTTCACTGTGCTGCTGCACTTTGTGTAAGTGACAGGGTTCACTGTGCTGCTGCTGCACTATGTGTAAGTGACAGGGTTCACTGTGCTGCTGCTGCACTATGTGTAAGTGACAGGGTTCACTGTGCTGCTGCACTATGTGTAAGTGACAGGGTTCACTGTGCTTCTGCACTATGTGTAAGTGACAGGGTTCACTGTGCTGCTGCACTATGTGTAAGTGACAGGGTTCACTGTGCTGCTGCTGCACTATGTGTAAGTGACAGGGTTCACTGTGCTGCTGCAATATGTGTAAGTGACAGGGTTCACTGTGCTGCTGCAATATGTGTAAGTGACAGGGTTCACTGTGCTGCTGCACTATGTGTAAGTGACAGGGTTCACTGTGCTGCTGCACTATGTGTAAGTGACAGGGTTCACTGTGCTGCTGCACTATGTGTAAGTGACAGGGTTCACTGTGCTGCTGCACTCTGTGTAAGTGACAGGGTTCACTGTGCTGCTGCACTTTGTGTAAGTGACAGGGTTTACTGTGCTGCTGCACTATGTGTAAGTGACAGGGTTCACTGTGCTGCTGCACTCTGTGTAAGTGACAGGGTTCACTGTGCTGCTGCACTCTGTGTAAGTGACAGGGTTCACTGTGCTGCTGCACTATCTGGTGGTAGTTTACTAGTAGCAGATTGTGTACTGATGACAATCAGGATGTTAACGGTGTTTTCATCCAAGTGGGAGGGCATTTGCCTGAGATACCAGGAGCCATTCAATTAAGTCATAAAACTCAAGTTCTGGTAAAAGACCAAAGTCCAGGAGTGGATGAACAACCAGGACTTTCTACCAGAGTTTACAGCCAGTGAATACTAAGGAAACATATATTAGTAAGAGGGTCACACCATGGAAGAGAATAGGATGTCACCACATAATATTTCCAAAGACAACAGTGGTACACTGTAGCCGATGTTCACTGTGGAGATGGCACAGAATTGTACATATTTTGTTTTGTTTAACACCTCTACAATGTTTAGATATTTTACTGTCATTATACTCCAAACTAGTCTAAGAACAGGACACTGCAGGCTTAATTACCACATGAATAAAATAAAGACAGTACAGTCCTGACAATGTGCCTGTCAGATGGGACCACAAACACCAGAGCATATTCTGCAGGCCTGCCCAATATACTTACTACAAAGAGCAAAGTGTGCAGAGCAAGCTATGGCGACCAACAAAAGACCTGCAACTGACTTCTGAATTCATAGAGGAAGCCCAGCTGATGATCTGACCTGAGCAAATGAAACCGTATGTGAGGAAACCCAGCTGATGATCTGACCTGAGCAAATGAAATCGTACATGAGGAAACCCAGCTGATAATCTGACCTGAGCAAATGAAACCGTATGTGAGGAAACCCAGCTGAAAATCTGACCTGAGCAAATAAAACCGTACATGAGGAAACTAAGCTGATGATCTGACCTGAGCAAATGAAACCGTACATGAGAAAACCCAGCTGATGATCTGACCTGAGCAAATGAAACCGTACATGAGGAAACTAAGCTGATGATCTGACCTGAGCAAATGAAACCGTACATGAGAAAACCCAGCTGATGATCTGACCTGAGCAAATGAAACCGTACATGAGAAAACCCAGCTGATGATCTGACCTGAGCAAATGAAACCGTACATGAGGAAACTAAGCTGATGATCTGACCTGAGCAAATGAAACCGTACATGAGAAAACCCAGCTGATGATCTGACCTGAGCAAATGAAACCGTACATGAGAAAACCCAGCTGATGATCTGACCTGAGCAAATGAAACCGTACATGAGGAAACTAAGCTGATGATCTGACCTGAGCAAATGAAACCATACATGAGAAAACCCAGCTGATGATCTGACCTGAGCAAATGAAATCGTACATGAGAAAACCCAGCTGATGATCTGACCTGAGCAAATGAAACCGTACATGAGGAAACTAAGCTGATGATCTGACCTGAGCAAATGAAATCGTACATGAGAAAACCCAGCTGATGATCTGACCTGAGCAAATGAAACTGTACATGAGAAAACCCAGCTGATGATCTGACCTGAGCAAATGAAACCGTACATGAGAAAACCCAGCTGATGATCTGACCTGAGCACATGAAATTGTATATGAGAAAACCCAGCTGATGATCTGACCTGAGCAAATGAAACCGTACATGAGAAAACCCAGCTGATGATCTGACCTGAGCAAATGAAACCTTACATGAGAAAACCCAGCTGATGATCTGACCTGAGCAAATGAAATTGTATATGAAGAAGAAAAAGAAGACTCCTACATAGTGCCCATAGAGAGCCATGGTGGCTAGAATTCGACTGGGGCATGAAGGTTGTGGGTTCAAATCTGTATCAAGCGCTGAAGTTGTTTTAAAACTGACCTTGGCTTTCAGGCTGATGTAGCCTTGCATGGGTACCAGGTAAAGTCTTGAGAAGTAAAGGTGTTCAGTGTGATGTTGACCACATCATCTATAGATCTAGCACTATATACCCTATGCGCCCAAGAGAATGGAAAAAGAGTCCTTTACCCTACATACTAGTGCCCACAGGCTGAAATGTAGCAATTATTAGTTCTAGAAAACTCCAAACATTCCTCTTGTCAAGTCAACACTGAATCACGTTGTATAATTATATACAAGCGGTTTGCCGAACGGGTAAGAGCACTGGGCTCTCAAAGCTCTCATGCAAGAGAACCAGGTTCAAATACCCAATAAGGATTTTTTCTTCTGTTTAGGCCAAAAATAAAATTCTAACCTGCAGAGTTCATGGCAACAGCACTAGCCATGCAGCCCTAAATCTTCAGGCTAATTAATGCAGGCTATACCTGTCAGTTTTTGTGTTTATGGGTAGATAGAATGAGAACTGAAGAGAATAGATGAAAGTAATCATACCTGATGTAGTCGATCAAATGAGCTGGTAATACTGGAATGTACAGATGTTGCCTGAAAGGAGAAGCACAAGCTAGTATACAAAGGCAATAATATAATAAAGGAGCAAAACTAACAATTGTGGCGTAAACAGCTAATGTAACAACTATGTGGCATTGAAAAAGTACTTTTTTTTTTCGCTCACCCCATCTTGGGGACTCTGATTTCAGGGAGCGTTCCCGGGAAATTAGTTGATGAAGAGTTATTGGAAGGTTTCTTTTAAGGAGTGATAGTGAAGATAAGTTTGAAATGAGTAAGCTGAGCTAGATTGTTCTCACAGCATTCCAGACATGTGTATCATCATCATCAATTTCCACTTTTGCCATTAAGCTTTGTAGGGAACAACAGTTTGTGATCCACTGCTTGATGGGCAGCAATGGCTACAGTCATCAATCTATGCTCTCCTGGGGTGGTCTCTTGCTTTCACTTCAGATGTTTTCATGTGTAGCGTCCTCGTTGGTAGTTGTTCTGGCTGCATTCTAACTGAAAGACCAAACCATCTGATCTTCTGTTTCTCAATGAATTTGCTGCATGGTGTTGTTCCTACAGTCTGATAATTTGTAACTTTACCTTGGATGGCTAGTTGGCGGCTTTTCTCAGGCATCTCATTTCACAGGCATTAATTTTATGTTGATTTTTTTCTTTACCTGATGTTAATGACAATTTGAACATAGCTTTTGCTAGTGTTAAATTTTAAAAAAAAAGGAGAGAGAGAGAGAAAGAGAAGGGGGAGGGGGAGATAGAGAGAGAGAGGGGTAGAGAGAGAGGGGGAGACAGGGGGAAGAAAGAGAGGGGGAGAAAGACAGAGAGGGGAGAGAGAGGGAGAGAGGGAGGGGGAGAGAGAGGGGGAGAGAGGAGAGAGAGAAGGGAGAGAGAAAGAGAGAGGGGGAAAGAGAGGAAGATATGGGGAGAGAAAGAAAGAGGAGAAAGTGAGGGGAGAGAGACAGAGGGGGGAGAGAGGGAGAGAGAAAGGAAGAGAGAGGAGAGAGGGGGAGAAAGAGAGAGGGGAGAGAGGGGAGAGAGAGAGGAAGGGAGAGAGAGAGGGAGGGAGAGAGAGAGGAGAGAGGGGAAGAGAAATAGAGAGTGAGAAAGAGGGGAGAGAGAGAGGGGGAGAGAGAGAGAGAGAAAGGGAGAGAAAGGGTAGGGAGAGAGAGAGATATAGAGACAGAGAGGGAGTTATAGGAAGGAGAGAGAGAGGGAGAGGGGGGAGAGAAAGAGTGATGGGGAGAGAGAGGGAGAGAAAGAGGGGAGAGAGAGAGGAGGAGAGAGGGGGAAGAGAGAGAGGGTGGGAGAGAAAGAGAGAGGGGGAGAGAATGGGAGAGAAAGAAAAAAAGGGGAGAGAGAGAGGGTGAGAGAGAGGATAGGCAAAAGAGAGAGGAGAGAGAGAGAGGGAGAGAGAGGGGAGAGAGACAGAGAAAAAGAGAGAGAGAGAGATAGAGAGAGAGACAGAGAGAGAGAGAGAGAGAGAGAGCGAGCGAGAATATGGGAAAGTTTACCAATGCATGGGATACAATAATGTCTCAGCTGCATGGATACAGGAGGTTAATCTGCTCAGCTTTTTTGAAGTCATGTAAATGCGGCGCTCATGAAGCATACTGGAGACAGACAGAAACAAGACAAATATTAATTTTGGTAATTTAAAAACAAACAAACAAAGCCAAGCTGGACAAACTAAAAGGTTTTTTATTTATATTGTAGCAGTGATGAGCAAGGGCTGGTCAACATCTATCTGCAACTCTTGGCTGCCATCCCAGAAACAGGTTTGCAACCAGGGCCTGGACAACATCTATCTACAACTCTTGGCTGCCATCCCAGAAACAGGTTTGCAACCAGGGCCTGGACAGGATCAATGTTTCCTTCAAAGTCACAGTAAGGGTTAAACAAAAAAAGGTAAAGTCAGGAGATGTGAACCAGCATCATTGCACATGGTAATAAACCATAAGTGCTCTGCTACCAGTACAGACAGCTGATAAGAAACTGTCCGCCTGTGTTGCGGCCGCACATAACTCTGTAGTTACAACGATGTCCCTCCATTTACCCCAGAGTGTTAACTCTGGTACCCATTTCCTAAAGGCTGGGTAAACCCTGGAAACCCTGCGGTTTCGAACACCAGCCGTAGGTTGCAGCGAGTTGCAGCTGGATTTGATGGCGAGTCTCCTATCGACTCCACTAATGCGGCCCCAGGGCTTCTGCCCAGGAGGTGAACCAACAGTCTGAACACAAATCAGCTAGATTTGTAAAATGGATGTGCAAACAATGTTCAAATCCTGGAACAAGACCAAAGTCTAGAAGTCAACAACCAGCACTTGCTGCTGGAGTTTACAGCTGCTGAACCAAAAAACAGAATTACTGACATATATATAATTTATTTTAATTTAAAAAAAAAATTTTTTTTGTTTAAACCTAAAGGATAACAATTTGAAAACATTTATTTTTACATATACACTGTTCCTTTATTTTTTCAACATAATTTCCACCAAGACTGATGCACTTATCCTATTGTTTTATCAGTCCTCTCAAACCTGCTGCATAGAAATGTGTGCTCTGTTTCCTAGACCACATTTTCAATTCACATTCAACTTCTGCAAAATGTCTCCCGCCAAAGTGGATTTTCAGAGGGCCAAAAAAGGTGGAAGTCACACCAGAGGAAACAGGAAGCATTTCCTTATGAATGTCCTTTGCAGGCAGCCCTTTGACCCCCCCCCCCCCCCCACCCCCCAACAAAAAAAACCACAACAGCACATTATTCTTTGAGGGTACACTCCGTAAATACATTCGCCGTTTTGTGAATGCGTATGAAAGACCTCACGCGACTCAACAAACGGAGACATAAAGTTCGATGTTGTTGTCCCCTAATGACACCTTTAGAAACCCCCAACTACATCTTTCTGCCATCCCATGACCATTATTGTGACTTACTTATTGACTTCCCTCCTAATGTTTTGGTTTTTATGTATTTTTGTTGCAACTGTGTCACTGTCCGTACTGCATTCACAAAGAATGCCAGAGTCTACAGCCAGCAAACATGAAGACAGAGAAGCAGAATAAAGATATCCACAAAAGATACAGTATGTGCTGACAACGTATTCATAAGTAGTTATTTTTCTATATTCATATGTAGTTATTTTTCATCTTCTTTGTATGTTTCCATGCATAAAATAAATATTTTACAGTGCCCACAGTGTGCTTGTCAAACAGGACCACAAACATCTGAGCATATACTGCAGAACTGCCCATTCTAGCTGCAACTTCAAAAAGACACCTGGCCTCAAGAGCACAATGTGCAGAGCAAGCTATGAGAATTATGAAGGACCTGCTGCTGACATGTCACTTCATAGAGGCAACCCACCTTATTGTCTGTGATCTGAGCTTAGGAAACAGAAGTCGGAAAAAAACTGTAGTTATTTAAAAAATTTTTTTGTAAAAACAAATACCTTGCAAAAATAAGCATCATATTACTTGGATCCACAGCATTGTAATACTCTGTCAAATTCCTCTGTCAAATACAAAAAAAGCAAACATATAGCATGTTGGCACACAGAAAATAATTGCACAGTAACGTACTTCTTTGAGGTCTGTTAAAAAATGTCTAACCTATGGAACAAAAAAAAAGTTCAGCTACACATCTGGGGGTGTGAAACCCATATAATCTTATAGCTGTCTTTTAACAGCTTCTTGTGTCAGTTCGGGGACCTCACTGGGTGGTTTTTGGGGGGGGGGGGGGGGGGGGGAAAGGGGGGGCATTTTTATAGAAGGTCAAAAAGCAAATTCTTTCTTAGAGTTGACCAGCTGTTAACTCTGAATATCGCCTACCTGCATTCATCTCTCTTTGGTTGGCCTTCTCTTTCCAGTTGGTGACACCAAGCGTTTGCAGGTCTGTCTGGACATTATCTCTCTGGTTAGCCTTCTCTTTCCAGTTGGTTATAGCAAGTGATAGCAAGTGTTCGCAGGTCTGGATATTATCTCTATATCCTCTTGGCTGGGAATCTTGGAGTGTTAACAAACAATTTAGAAATAACTTGGAGGCTGTGGACACCACAGACAGACAGTGACTAACTTCTGCCTGGAAATCATTAATGACTATACACAACTATAAGACAGAAGTTTTCAGTATTTTCTGGTTACGTTATGAGAAGAGAAGCACAGAAGAACATCCTGAACATCATGATGACTAGAAAGATCAATGATAGATGAAGCAAGGGTAGACCAAGAGAGACACTAGAGAACATCATGATGACTGGAAAGATCAATGATAGAAGAAGCAAGGGCAGACCAAGAGAGACACTAAAGAAAATCATGATGACTGGAAAGATCAATGATAGATGAAGCAAGGGCAGACCAAGAGAGACACTAGAGAACATCATGATCACTGAAAAGATCAATAATAAAAGAAGAAGCAGGAGCAGACCAAGAGAAACACTAGAGAACATCATGATGACTGGAAAGATCAATGGTAGAAGAAGCAGGAGAAGACCAAAAGAGACACTGGAGAATATCATAATGACTGGAAAGATCAATGATAGATGAAGCAAGGGCAGACCAAGAGAGACACTAGAGAACATCATGATGACTGGAAAGATCAATAATAGAAGAAGCAAGGGCAGACCAAGAGAGACACTAGAGAACATCATGATGAATGGAAAGATCAATGATAGAAGAAGCAGGAGAAGACCAAAAGAGACACTGGGGAATATCATAATGGCTGGAAAGATCAATGATAGAAGAAGCAGGAGAAGACCAAAAGATACACTAGAGAACAACATGATGACTGGAAAGATCAATCATAGAAGAAGCAAGGGCAGACCAAGAGAGACACTAGAGAACATCATGATGACTGGAAAGATCAATGATAGAAGAAGCAGGAGAAGACCAAAAGAGACACTGTGGAATATCATAATGACTGGAAAGATCAATGATAGAAGAAGCAAGGGCAGACCAAGAGAGACACTAGAGAACATTATGATGACTGGAAAGATCAATAGTAGAAGAAGTAAGAGCAGACCAAGAGAGACACTAGAGAACATTATGGTGACTGGAAAGATCAATGATAGAAGAAGCAAGGGCAGACCAAGAGAGACACTAGAGAACATCATGATGACTGGAAAGATCAATGATAGAAGAAGCAGGAGAAGACCTAAAGAGACACTGTGGAATATCATAATGACTGGAAAGATCAATGATAGAAGAAGCAAGGGCAGACCAAGAGAGACACTAGAGAACATTATGGTGACTGGAAAGATCAATGATAGAAGAAGCAAGGGCAGACCAAGAGAGACACTAGAGAACATTATGGTGACTGGAAAGATCAATGATAGAAGAAGCAAGGGCAGACCAAGAGAGACACTAGAGAACATCATGATGACTGGAAAGATCAATGATAGAAGAAGTAAGGGCAGACCAAGAGAGACACTAGAGAACATCATGATGACTGGAAAGATCAATAGTAGAAGAAGTAAGAGCAGACCAAGAGAGACACTAGAGAACATTATGGTGACTGGAAAGATCAATGATAGATGAAGCAAGGGCAGACCAAGAGAGACACTAGAGAACATCATGATGACTGGAAAGATCAATAGTAGAAGAAGTAAGAGCAGACCAAGAGAGACACTAGAGAACATCATGATGATTGGTAAGACCAATGGTAGAAGAAGCAAGGGCAAACCAAGAGAGATGATGCTTGATTGCCTGAAGCCATGGCATAATGAAACATCAGTGGAACTGCTTCAATACACCAAGGACAGGGATCTCTGGAGAGGCATAAGCACCAATGTTGCTGGGCAGGTTACATTATGATGATGATATTTCACTATATCTCATCGAGTAAATACTACAGCAACAACTGAATAAATTGAAGCAAATAAATGAATTCTTTACAACTGAAATATATGACCAACCAGGCTAACAAATAACTGCCAGTTTGACCACAGAAAATCCCATTTCAAGACCATGTCTTAGTAGGCACCTGTCAAGGTCCAGCCAGGTATGCCAGGGAATAAATTGTGCAGTCTATTAGTTGTGTCTTCTTTATTCAAATTTACAACATGGAAACATTTTTTTAAGAAAAAAAAAGTAACTTACATTGTTAGGAATTCTGGGTAAAACATTCGGATCCGGGGCTGTAAAACTAAACATCTGTTGAAGAAATTGAAAAAGCGTTGTAATAAATATTTGAGAAACTCATTCACAGTATAATGATACTTCCGCTAACAGGTTTTTGGCTATGAAGAGATTTCTTTGCTGATTTTCCAACCTCGACGAATGAATTTGGATTCAGCTAATAAATCTTGTAGCGGATGTGCATGCTAAGATAACACAGTCATGTTATGCATCGAATGTTCGCACTAATAGATTTCAGCTAACAAAGATAATGGCCAACAAATCTCATTCTGCGACACATTATCCTCCATAGCTGAGGTATCAATGTACTTAGTGTGCTATAATTACTATTTAGAAACGCTCAGCTGAATGCTGTTGGAAGAAAACAACTCAACACCTTACATTACTGCCTTCACTACCTTAGTTCATGGTGCGTATGTGTGAATTCCTATCTCATTCTTCTTGTTTGATAATCCATTCTGCCTGAACTGTTACTATCACTCATGTACAAAAGCTCTGTGTTCAATTATTTTAAATTTCAATATTGGTATTATAAATTACAAAAACTTTGGGTCAGAACACAAAAATTTTGTGCTTTTTTCAATGCAGAAGCCTGCAGTGTATTTCCCACTTTTGGCAACATTACAATATTGAATGTTGATTTAAGAATTGACATCACAGCACTCGGGTCACTCCCATAAATGCTCTGTCCTCATCTTCAGCAGCAAGTGAAGAGTTCCAATTTTAATGGCACCAGTACATGTCTGATTGTATATCCGTTTCATTCTTCCCCTGAGTGTTGAGCGTTGGCCAGATTCCCTGGTTACTCCTCGCAGCGTCATTCTCCTCAGACTGAAATGATCTTTCTGCGCATCCCCACTGTTCACTCTTCTCAAAGGGCGCTCACAATATCTAGCTTGTCATACATCAATTCACCACCAAGTGATGCAGAGCTGGCCAGTCTATCTGCCTGCTCATTTCCCAACACACAGGCATAACCTGGAGAAAATATTCAAAAAATGCAAACCACCCAGGACTCTGAAGTGATGCTTGCCACTCTGCAAGAGGAATTGCGTATTCACCTTTTTTTCAACATGCTCTGTGAGTCAGTAATATTTCAAAGTAAGGCACCCCAATCTGTCTCCCAGTGTGACATATATAAGTGAAAGCCATGAAACAGTGTTTTTCTAAACCAGGAAACATGAAAATTAAACCTGGTGCATTGAAGGTTGTGAAACTTGCCTAATAATCTTTAATTCAGAGTGCCACTGGGTTAAAAAAGTACTGTAGTAATAAGTCTTACTTCAGTATTAGAACAGTTCACAGCAGTTGCTTAAAGGGAGAGAAATCACAAGTAAAAACTTTTAAACAGGCAAGTTCGAATGCCAGATTTCTTTAGTATTCTATGACTGAATGCAAAAACAATAAAAATAACATACAGCATAATGTCAGGGATTCATAAGTTTATTACACATAATGTACGGCTTGGGACTGAAGGGTAACTCTTCCAGGACAGGTCTGCTGGGTATAGAGTGCTTAGGACTGAAGGGTAACTCTTCCAGGACAAGTCTGCTGGGTATAGAGTGCTTAGGACTGAAGGGTAACTCTTCCAGGACAGGTCTGCTGGGTATAGAGTGCTTGGGACTGAAGGGTAACTCTTCCAGGACAGGTCTGCTGGGTATAGAGTGCTTAGGACTGAAGGATAACTCTTCTAGGACAGGTCTGCTGGGTATAGAGTGCTTGGGACTGAAGGGTAACTCTTCCAGGACAGGTCTGCTGGGTATAGAGTGCTTAGGACTGAAGGGTAACTCTTCCAGGATAGGTCTGCTGGGTATAGAGTGCTTGGGACTGAAGGGTAACTCTTCCAGGACAGGTCTGCTGGGTATAGAGTGCTTAGGACTGAAGGGTAACTCTTCCAGGACAGGTCTGCTGGGTATAGAGTGCTTGGGACTGAAGGGTAACTCTTCCAGGACAGGTCTGCTGGGTATAGAGTGCTTAGGACTGAAGGGTAACTCTTCCTGGACAGGTCTGCTGGGTATAGAGTGCTTAGAACTGAAGGGTAACTCTTCTAGGACAAGTCTGCTGGGTATAGAGTGCTTGGGACTGAAGGGTAACTCTTCCAGGACAAGTCTGCTGGGTACAGAGTGCTTAGGACTGAAGGGTAACTCTTCCAGGACAGGTCTGCTGGGTATAGAGTGCTTAGGACTGAAGGGTAACTCTTCTAGGACAGGTCTGCTGAGTATAGAGTGCTTGGGACTGAAGGGTAACTCTTCCAGGACAGGTCTGCTGGGTATAGAGTGCTTGGGACTGAAGGGTAACTCTTCCAGGACAGGTCTGCTGGGTATAGAGTGCCTGGGACTGAAGGGTAACTCTTCCAGGACAGGTCTGCTGGGTATAGAGTGCTTGGGACTGAAAGGTAACTCTTCCAGGACAGGTCTGCTGGGTATAGAATGCTTGGAACTGAAGGGTAACTCTTCCAGGACAGGTCTGCTGGGTATAGAGTGCTAGGGACTGAAGGGTAACTCTTCCAGGACAGGTCTGCTGGGTATAGAGTGCTTAGGACTGAAGGGTAACTCTTCTAGGACAAGTCTGCTGGGTATAAAGTGCTTAGGACTGAAGGGTAACTTTTCCAGGACAAGTCTGCTGGGTATAGAGTGCTGGTGCCATATTTTTTATGTCTGCATCTGCACTCAATGAGTGATCAGTTCAATGTCTGGTCAGAAGCTGAACATTTCCTGGTATTCCATTTCAGGTTAACTATTTTGACCAGGGAACATTATAAAAAAATTAAAAAATCTAAATAGGTCATGACCCCATTAGAATTCCAGAAAAACAATCCATAAAAACAATCATTTTTACACAGGTTACTAAAAAAATTTGTTCAAATATATTTATTTACATTTTCAAATTATTTTTTGAAATTTCTAAAAAATATGTGAAATGTGTAATCAATCAACAGGGTGAAGCACTGAATCGAATTCATCTGCAGGGTTTAAAAAAAAACACACACACACATATATATGTATCATATGACTCATACCGCGTTCCCGTGACCTTTTCTGTCACTGAAGCTCACTAGAGAATCTGAGGTCAACTTGGCTTTTAGTTCTAAAGACACCCCCCTCTACCCTCCACCCACACTCCCAATGCTATTGTCAGTTAATGTATTCATATCCTGACCTCCTAAATGTTTGTGCAGGCATGAACCCAACTAACAACCTTAACTATGTATCTTGTAAACAAGTAACTTTAGACAATTTAGAAACATGACATTTACGGGAAATTAGCCAGTCGATACATCACGCTGATTCTTGGGCCACAATTTTTTTAATGGGCCAGATGGTCATGGGCCAGAGGTATGATCCCCAGCATATAAAGATCATAAGCACAATACGACTGGCATAACAAAAAATGAGACGCACACCAGAAGATTTGTTAATCAACATAGAACTGGTACTATTAGTTATCGGATGTGCGGGTTCATACTGGGGGGAGGATCTGAGCACCTATGGACATGCCCGGAGTGCAATGATGATAACCCAACTAACTAACTGGGTAATGATCTGCAGGCCATACGTAAAAGAGACATGCTATAGATATTCTTGAATCTGAAACAGAACTCTGTGGACTTTAAACCCCAAAGCTTTAACTCTTATTTTAACCCCTTCTGTTCCATGGAGTTGAGCTTAAAAGCAGTAAAAAGTCTGATCTGAAGAACTTTTATTCAGATATTTTTGGACAAAAGTAGTTCAACTAATAACTCCTCTGGCAAGACATCAATGTGACATGTCAGTTAAGTGATTTTGTGTATTCGTGTAATTTTGTTTGATTTATGTATGTGCTGATGCAGACTCTGTAGCCGTGACAACTTTCACTTTTAGTTTGTGTTTGTTATATTGTGAAGCTCGCTAATCTACTTTTCGTTTGGTTTTATATCTTTCCACAATACAACTAATTAATAATTCAGATATAAGGAGATAATATAATATCTATATGTGATATTACAAAAATACACTGCCAGAAGTTACATTATATTAAGAATGACAAAGAAACCATGGTGGATTATTTGGTATAAAAAGAGGATCCGTCGTCCTAGCCTAAACATAGTTGATGCAGACTGAAAGGTAAAGGAACAGAATGATCAAGACCTCTTTTCTTCTTCATGTTCACCAGTTGTAAACTCCGGCGTAAAGTTCTTCCACCTCTGGATTTTAGTTCCAGAATTTGAGTGTTGCCTGCACATCCGTTTATCTACATGCAGACTCTTGGTTTTTTGCCTCTCATGCAGATGTACTTAGGCTTCAAAGAATGCTCCCAATTAGTTGACTCCTAGGGCATGCTTGTTGGGAAGACAGTGGGTCTATTCTTGTTTTTCCCACAATGCGGCCGCAGAATCCACCGAGGAAGAAGATTCAAGGCTGATAACACAAAATATATGCACGTGAAGCGGTACCTGGCATATGGACATCTATATTTTCCAGGTCTCTTTTCCAACAGGTAAGCTCTACTAATTTGATCAGATATTTTCTGCATTATAAATTTTGTCAATGATCCAGGAAAGCCAACCTGGTCAATAAATATCTTGAAGTTGGATCTATCAGATGAAATACACAAATATTGCAGTTTTGCTGTAAACAGCTTCAAGAAATAAAAAATATGCAACTGAGCTCGCAAGAGCAGGAAGTCATCTTCTACAACTTCACCCACAAGAGCTGACTAAAACTGCCCTAAAGCTCTCCTTCAGGGGCAAGTGGGGAAGGCAGAACACAGATTTACAGACCAGACAATGACAGCTTAAACATACTTAACAGATGAGAACAAACAATAAATATCAGGCAGCAGATAAAACAGTGCAGTCACAGAGCACAGCTCCATAAAACAGGTAGGAAAGAATTTGCCACCTTGACTGCAAAATAGATAAGATTCCTGAGCATGCGTTGCAAGATCACACTGGTTACCCCTGGTAAATATATTCTCATTATATACTGTGTTGATTGCTGTGAAGGACTGGTGGTGACTTTAGAGGTACCGTTCTATTTATGACCCAGACAATACTGAATGTTTCGCATGGCTGTTTCGAATGCAGAAGAAGAGGAAAATATAAATAAGCTCAACATAATTACCGCCAAATATAATAACAATTAAAAATTCAAAACAAAACTAAGAAAGACCTGAAAAAATCATACAGAAAACAAACAACAAAGTCAATATTAAAAAGCAGAAATGTATTTGATCAAATAACAGAAGAACTCACATCCTGATTTGAAATAATTGTTACAGGTATCTTTGGTAAAGGAACCTCCTGAGTGTAGGCTGTATGTAAGAAGCTGGTCACGTGATTGTTCTCTGACCGGTTGATGATCTCAGCCAGAAGATCCAGCATCTTGTAGAAAATCTCATACCAAGGTAGCCAGCTAATGGACAGAATGGAGGAAAAAAAAGCATTGCTATACACATTTTTTCATACAACAGTCGGAGTAAAACGGATTGACTTGACTGCACCAGGTTTATATCATAAAGCGGCGGGATATATTTATGCAGAGAGGCATAAACAGATCATCACAGTCTGAAAAACGTAGTGCAGCAAGGGGATCAGGGGATCTGGTCGATGCTCAACACTTAGGATACATACAGTCAGACACAAGTGGTACCACAACTGCTGCTAAAGATGGTGATGGAACACTTATGGGAAGGTATCAAGTGCTATGATTGTTGGTTTTTAACTCATAAATCCCAAACAGCTCAGACTTTGCAGATGGCAATCCACCTGCTGAGCATGTGACACAGCACAAATTCCTTACCTCTAGCAATGATCCCTGGGATTTCTCAAAACATTGCAAATGTGAACTGAAAGATGGAGTCCATGAGATGTAACCATGACTTTGACAGCACAAGGCAGATGGCCAGATCTTTTGGCCACAGAGACCGCCAGTTTAACAGATGGCCAGATCTTCTGACCACAGACTTAACACATACTCTTTCTATATGCCTTAACCAGTGCAGTACATTAGCCCAGATGATGCCAATATATAGTCGTGATTTAAACAGAAGAATTTTATTGCTCCTTCTCACTCTCTATCCCTATGCCGTTTGCATCTCTGATGTTTCCAAAGATTCATCGTAACGCTGTTCGTAACAGCAATAGGTACTAAATTTTTTTTAAATTTAAAAAAACAACAACATGAGTATATGGTGCAACGGTCAGTATTACAGAAGTTGGTATTGTTAATCAAAATGTACAGAAAAGAAAAGAAGCATATGGTGCTGAGAAAGGTAAAAAATAAGTTACAAAACACTTTACCTAATAATGCATAAACAGCCCTGGTAGCCAGTTGTGTGCCGACAGTATCCAAATCTAAACATGCTGTCCAGGTCAGTGAGCACAAATGTAAAATGGTCCACCTGTGACCTATTTTAAAATTATCCACATTTTCTGTTAAAGGTTTTGAAGGCATGATTTATAAACATAGTGTAAATTAGTCATGAGTGAAATTATATTGAGGGGTGATTTACAAACATATCAGTGTGCATTGGTAATGAGTTAAATTATATTTAAGGCATGATTTACAAACATATCAGTGTGGATTGGTCATGAGTTAAATTATATGAAAGGTGAAAGAAGTTTTTGCTAGAAGAGAAATTACAAGAATACTTGGCTTTTCAGATGAAATAGATATAATCGAAGAAAATGAATTCCAGACAGTAAAAAACACAGACTCTCTTAAAGAAAGTAGTTTAAAAAAAATGGGACTAGTTAACTGAGACAAGAATGCACAATAATAACAAAACAGGGAAAGGGTAAACATTTCAGACACAAACAACGTAAAGTGAAAATCAAATGAATAAAAATTCACAAGTACTTGGGTACAAACTTCAGCTGATGCAACATACCAACAAAAAAATAGTCTAGAACAAAATCTGGAAAAAAGTATACTATGCCTTACAACATCTGCTCAAATCAAACGCTCCATCTCGTAATAGCAAGGTCACAATTCATAAAACACTGATAAAACCAGTTGTCATTTAATGCACCTGAAACTAGGAGCAAAACTAAGAGAGATGTAGTCATGCTATATATTTTTGAAAACAAAGTGTCGTACTACAAATGTTTGGACCGATCAAAGATGCAAACAGAGAAATGGAGAATGAGAAGCAACAACAAAATTCATGTTTAAATCACCAGTTATCAATGGCAGAGAGCTAACAGACTGAAACGTCTGGGGCATACAGAGAGAGTAGAAGATGACAGAGAGGCAAAAACTGTATACAAAAGGCAGTTGAATAGTTGCTGACCATGAGGCATCTCATATCCAGGCAGATCTTCAAACACTTAATGACAGGGAAGAGTCTGTCAGTCACAGAAATGAATGGAGGTGAGCGATATCTGCAGCAATAAACCTCAGGGGTTTGGAATGCTGAAGAAGAAGGCCAACCAGAGAGATGAGTGGAGGTGGGTGACATATGCAGCAATAAACCCCAGGGGCTTGGAATGCTGAAGAAGAAAGCCAACCAGAGAGATGAGTGGAGGTGAGCGATATCTGCAGCAATAAACCCCAGGGGTTTGGAATGCTGAAGAAGAAGCCAACCAGAGAGATGAGTGGAGGCGGGTGACATATGCAGCAATAAACCCCAGGGGCTTGGAATGCTGAAGAAGAAAGCCAACCAGAGAGATGAGTGGAGGTGAGCGATATCTGCAGCAATAAACCCCAGGGGTTTGGAATGCTGAAGAAGAAGGCCAACCAGAGAGATGAGTGGAGGCGGGTGACATATGCAGCAATAAACCCCAGGGGCTTGGAATGCTGAAGAAGAAGGCCAACCAGAGAGATGAGTGGAGGTGAGCGATATCTGCAGCAATAAACCCCAGGGGTTTGGAATGCTGAAGAAGAAGGCCAACCAGAAGATGAGTGGAGGCGGGTGACATATGCAGCAATAAACCCCAGGGTTTTGGAATGCTGAAGAAGAAGAAGAAAAAGAAGAAGATCAGTGTAAAGTGGAATACTGCAGCTTTTTTCTCTTCTGCATTCACCCTTAAAAAGGCGGTTGGTATATTGTGCTGTGCATTACAGCTAGGCTGTGATATATGTGTCTTTCAACACGACTTCAGCAAACCCCTTATTAATGGCTTTATATGACATTGTTAGTGGGAACTGAATTCCCCCTCCCCTCTCCCCCTCACAAATGAGGCCTCAAAGCCTACAAGGATAATGAACAAAGATAATAATCAGGCTCTTGGCTTCAACATTAGGGAAACAACATTTCTGAATATGGCAAACTATGAGAAGGAAAAAAAAAATTAACATTTGATAGAGTAAGGCAAACCAAGTATTGGGACAGCTAGCTAGGGCACCCCCCCCCCCCCCTCTCTCTTTTTTCCAACCAACCCCTCTCTCTTGACAGCATAAGACTGTCCCAATCAGCAAAAATAAACTCATGAAAAACATACTCATTTCCACCTTATACTACCAGTGCCTGACATGGTCACTTAAAACAACAACAACAAAATATGAGTAACCACTGAAATGAGATGTCTGAGATAAGCTTTAGGGTTGAACAGAAGGGACAAAATCAGGGGTGAAGTCGTAATAAAAAAACACACCAAAAGACAGGACAGAACAAGAGTAATATTAAAGCTACACACAAAGAAAGCAAATCAAACAGTGTGCCCACTGACAGAGAACACTTTGTGATGCCATACCATACAAGGCATATCCAACATAGGAGAGGTGCATACATCATGAAGTAAACCAAGAACAAGAGGGAAAGACAGCATTAGAGAAACTCTATAAAAGTAGAATATGTCTTTGGTCAAAGCATCCAGAAGAGCAAGAAGCAGGACACCGCATTTCCTTCAATGTATGAAGCAGTAAAAGAGGAAGTGAAGAAAAGCGAAAAGACAACAGGATGTAGACCTAGAGAAACAAATTAAAAACAAATACACCAACTATCGTAAGTAGATAATAATAACCTACAGACAATCACTAACACAAGATAACAAGCACATACACCGCGCCACAATTGAAAGTACGACTATACAAAGAACTTACACTTCGGCTGCACAAGGGAAGGCAAAGCGAGGGATCATCATCAAGGCTTCCTGTAACATATTAAGCATTAATCAAGTGTGTAGCAATTCGATTTACAAACATAAAAGCTAAACATTTTTGCCCTGCAAATGCTAAACAAAAATGGACAATGAACCCATAGGAATTAATGGAAAAATCCTGACAGAAGCAATTATTTTATCAAGAAAACAACACATTGTTGAAAACTTTATTTATCCACATTTTAAAACTTTTGTTTCAAAATATATAGATATTTAAAAGGAATAGTCAATAAAACACAAATATATAAAGAGAGAAAACTGATAAACCACAACAGAAACATATCAAGAGAGAAAACTGCTCTACCACAACACAAACATATCATGAGAGAAAACTGCTATAAAACAACACAAACATATCATGAGAGAAAACTGCTTTTAAACAACACAAACATATCATGAGAGAACACTGCTATAAAACAACACAAACATATCAAGAGAGAAAACTGCTAAACCACAACACAAACATATCAAGAGAGAAAACTGCTATACCACAACACAAACATACTAAGAGAGAAAACTGCTATACCACAACACAAACATATCAAGAGAGAAAACTGCTATAACACAACACAAACACATCAAGAGAGAAAAATGCTATACCACAATACAAACATATCAAGAGGAAAAAACTGCTATACCACAACACAAACATATCATGAGAGAAAACTGCTATAAAACGACACAAACATATCAAGAGAGAAAACTGCTATACCACAATACAAACATATTAAGAGAGAAAACTGCTATACCACAACACAAACATATCATGAAAGAAAACTGCTATAAAACAACACAAACATATCAAGAGAGAAAAGTGCTATCCCACAACACAAACATATCAAGAGAGAAAACTGCTATCCCACAACACAAACATATCAATAGAGAAAACTGCTAAACCACAACACAAACATATCAAGAGAGAAAACTGATATAACACAACACAAACATATCAAGAGAGAAAACTGCTAAACCACAACACAAACATATCAAGAGAGAAAACTGCTAAACCACAACACAAACATATCAAGAGAGAAAACTGTTATAACACAACACAAACATATCAAAAGAGAAAACTGCTATACCACAACACAAAGATATCAAGAGAGAAAAATTACTCCACAGTCATTCTTACCTTGTCATCATAATCTGGGGGATACTGTTGCAGGATGATGGGAACTGAAAGACAACAAATAACTGACAATAGACAAGGGCACATGGTACAGACAGCAGTTATGATGCATTCTATTTGTTGTGCTGGTATGTTGTTGACTTCATCACCAATCGAGGGCTGACTGGTCTTTACAAATACAGGTCTGGCAGCAGATGCCTGTCACATCTGAGGTATTTCAGGGAGAAATATTTGTATATCCGCTTGTTTATGGCATCTGAGCAAGTCATTATTTTACACCTTAGAACAGGGTACAGTCGACTTTGCAGCCACATGTACACAAAATTTGAGATTGGCAAATCAGTCCGTGTACCTGTGGACTGGCACTGGAGACAACAGATCAAATCCTCCAAGACTTTCCAGCCACCACACTTCCAGGCAAACCTTCAAGCCAAGAGCAAAACTGGTGGAAGCCAAACTTAAAGGGCCACAAAGTGAATTGCAAAAGACAGTAAGTTAATACTAGAGACAGCACTACAGATATCGATAATTTATTTCAAGCGAACAAAAGAAGAAAAATCAAGGCATCTATCATGATAGCAACAGAGAAACTGCTAAATACCAATCTTGGCTTCCAGTGGGTAGTAATGCTGACAAATGCAAAATCAGTACTTGAAGCACTCCAGTCTAGGACACTACCAGAATTGCAAACACTGCTGACACAACTTAGCCTTCAGCAAAGAGTTGTAATGCAGTGCATACCATCACATTGTGGAGTGCCTGGAAATGAGAAAGCTGATCAACTGGCAGGAGAAGGTGCGACAAAAGTGCAGCGGGATGTACCAGACACATACCACCAAAAGAAAAGAATAATTAAATCAATCAGGAAACCACCAGCCCCAGCACAAGACTACTATTTTATCATGGACAGATCAGAACAATTTATAATCCTTCGCCTCAGAACAGGGCACAACCGATTTTGTAACCACATGTACACAAAATTCAAGATAGGCGTATCAGCCATGACACCTGTGAAAAGATGCCCCAGACAGCAGAGCATGTACTCCAGGACTGCACTGAATTTGACACATTAAGGCAAACCTTTTGGCCAGAAAGAACAACAATAGAATGTAAACTCTATGGACCACTGAATGAATTAACAACAACAGTGAAATTTATACAAGAGACAAAATTGCTGATATAGACAACTTATTTCAGGCGAACGAAAGAAGAAGAAGAAGAAGAAGAAGGTATCTGCATAATATGGCAAAATGAACAGGGCGGCTTTGTACAAGCTGGCTGAGGACCTGTGTTCCGTTAGAAGATTTTAAAAAAAAACAAAAAAACAGAAGACTGTAAATATGAACAAGCCATCTGTTTAGTGACTTGGGTGCAGTGATGATGCACTACACAGCAGGCTAGTTCGTTCACTCAGTGATCACAAGTTTCAACCACCTGGATTTTTACAAAAACCGACGAAGATTTCGAAATGTCTTCTCTTCTTTGTCCCTCGCTACATCTTCCGCCTCATGAACTTTCCTGTCCAAGGTGTCAGTTCATCTTATGCTGGTCCGCCCCGGCACTTTTTTCCTGCCACCAAGCCTTCTGCTTCTATTCTTTCCAATCTGCTATGGTGCTTGATATGGCCAAAATATGTCAGTTTCCAAAAGAAGATGGTATTTACCAGCAAATCTTTCTGGATGTTCAGATCTTTAATGATTTCATTATTCTTTTTCTTCTTGGTCCATGGTATTCTGAGAATCCTTCTGTAACACCTTAGCTCAAAAAGCTGAATTTTCTTCCTGAATTACTGCTTGACAGTAAATAGCTCACATCTGTATGTTGCTACAGCAAAGATTCATGCCCTGCAAATTCTGACCTTGACTTCCTTGCCACAGACTTTTAACTGGAATGAAGATCAGTACAATTCCTAAATTACCACACATACCATCATCTTTGCCATTTGGCTTTGCAATCTCCAGGAAGACCTCAAATAAATGCTCTGCCTTGTCTCTGTTAAAGAAAGAAAAGAAAATGTATTTTATTAATATCTCAAAAGAGCAGAATAAATATCACATCATGATGGGACAGTATGCACAGCTGCAGGTCAACCAGTTTTTACAGCTTGTAGTTTTAACAGACTGAAACTTTTTGCAGTGTATTCATTCTCATTAAATGACCAAGCCATGTCAGTTTTTTTTTTCAATGGATTTAATTATAGGTGCTGTTGCAATAGTTCTTGTTATTTCTTAATTTCTCACATGATTTTTTTTCTAGTTGTGGACATAGCCTTTTTCAAACATCTCATTTCACAGGTGGTTAGTTTTCTTCTGTATTCTTAGTCAATCAAGTCTGACACTGATAGCATCAGACTGCATTTATAAGTTGTCTTTTTATCATTAATAGGTTAGCTGGGTGTTTGCTTCCAAATTGGGGTCAGTTGATATGAGACATTACTGGCTTGTTGAATTCTTGTTTCACTCTCTTTGTCTGTTCTGCCATCATATGTAAAGATGCTCCCCAAGCATTTCAAGTGTTGAACTTCTGCCCTAAGGTGTTCTTATTTTAACATCCCTGGACTCAAACACTGGCTACTTTAAACTGGAACTTCTCAGCAGCTTTTTCTTCTTGGCATTTGTTTTTCTATGCTCAGGTCCAACCTTCAGGTGTCACCTTGATTCCCTTGCACATCAGCTGCAGGTTTTCCATGATTCCCCAGTTTGCTCTGCACTTTACTCATAAGGCCAGGTTTCTCTTTCTTGGCTGTAAGTATAGTGGGCAGGTCTGCAGAATGTGCCATGGTGCTTGTGGTCCTGTCTGATAGGCATACTGTGGGGACTGTACAGTCTTTATTTTATGCATGCAGTAGTTGAGCTTTCTATGTCCTGTTCTTAGACAGAAAATTGTTAGATGTTGTTTTTTTGCTGAGCCTGCTGATGAGGTCTTGCGAATATTTACAACTGGTTTATTCTCTCTACAATAATTTGTCAGGATAAAAGTGGTAAATTCAAGGCAAATACTGAAGAGATTAAAGTAACAACTCATTGGGACTGAAAGGTTTAAAACCAATTGCACATGGATAACAAATGTAATGATAAAACACACCTGTTTCAAGTAGGAATAGGTGTA